ATAGGAGGAAAGACAAAAAAACTTTCTATAGGAGGAAAGACAAAAAACTTTCTATAGGAGGAAAGACAAAAAAAACTTTCTATAGGAGGAAAGACAAAAAAACTTTATATAGGAGGAAAGACAAAAAACTTTCTATAGGAGGAAAGACAAAACTTTCTATAGGAGAAAAGACAAAAAACCCGTTAAGATAAATAATTACAAACAGATAGAGTAGAGCAAGTAAAGGCAGCAGCAGAGAGAGGAGATGAGGCCAGTTTGTCCTCCTGCAGTCAAAACTATAGCAGCATAACGAAGGGATAGCTCAGGAAACCCAAGCCAACTCTAACTATAGGATTTATCAAAAAGGAAAGTCTTAAAACTGGACAATGTGTCAGCCTTACGGTCAGAAACTGGAAGTTGGTTCCACAAGAGAGGAGCCTGAGAACTGGAAGATCTGCCTCCCATTCTGCTCCTGGAAACTCTAGGAACCACAAGTAAACCTGCAGTCTGAGAGGAAGGTGCTCTGTTGGGATATACAGTGAGGAAAATAAGTATTTGAACACCCTGCAACTTTGCAAGTTCTCCCACATAGAAATCATGGAGGGGTTGGAAATTTTCATCTTAGGTGCATGTCCACTGTGAGAGACATGATCTAAAAAATAAAAAAAAAAATCAGGAAATCACAATGTATGATTTTTTAATAATAATTTGTGTGTTACTGCTGTAAATAAGTATTTGAACACCTGTCAATCAGCAACAGTTCTGGCCCTCAAAGACCTGTTAGTCCACCTCCACTTATTTTTCTAAATTAGAAGCACCTGTTTGAGGTTGTTAGCTGCATAAAGACACCTGTCCACCCCACACAATCAGTCAGAGCGTTGAAGATGGTCGTGGCTGGTTCTTCCAACATGACAATGACCCGAAGCTCACAGCCAGGAGAACCAAGGAGTGGCTCCGTAAGAAGCATATCAAGGTTCTGGAGTGACCTAGCCAGTCTCCAGACCTAAACCCTATAGAAAATCTTTGGAGGGAGCTCAAACTCCGTGTTTCTCAGCGACAGCCCAGAAACCTGCTGATCTAGAGAAGATCTGTGGAGGAATGGTCCAACATCTCTGCTGCAGTAAACCTGGTGAAGAACTACAGGAAACCTTTGACCTCTGTAACTGCAAACAAAGACTACTGTACCAAATATTCACATTGATGTTCACAGGTGTTCAAATACTTATTTGCAGCAGTAAACACACAAATACATTATTAAAAAACCATACATTGTGATTTCTGGATTATTATTATTTTATATTATGTCTCTCACAGTGGACCTGCACCTAAGATGAACATTTCAGACCCTCCATGATTTCTAAGTGGGAGAAGTCGCAGGGTGTTCAAATACTTATTTTCCTCACTGTAACAATAAGATCTGTATACCGGTAATAAGATGGAGCTAGGTTGTTGAGGGCTTTGTAGGTTAGAAGTAAGATTTTGAATTCTGTTCTGGATTTGACAGGGAGCCAGTGGAGAGAAGCTAAAACTGGAGAGATGATCTCTCCCACTAACTCCAGTTAAGACTCTGGCAGCAGCATTTTGGATCAGCTGAAGACTTTTTTTTATTTTTAGAATGATTTAAACAGAATAAAGCACTTGTTAATATTTTGGAAGAATAATGAAATGGCTGAAGCATCAGGAGGGTCCAGGAGACTGGATTTGGTCAAAGTGGGCCGAACCGCCTGGGTTACATCACACAGCTGCCAGCAACGAGATGAAGAAAACTCATCATCATCATCTCCCTCTGTTCCCTCAGGCCGTTCACAACCAAAAACTAATTTTTTCATCCTGTTTTTACAAACGGACTGTTTGTGGACACCTGTCCAAACGGAGCAGACTGGACAGCCTGTTTGTGGACGCCTGTCCAAACGGAGCAGACTGGACAGCCTGTTTGTGGACGCCTGTCCAAACGGAGCAGACTGGACGGCCCGTTTGTGGACGCTTGTCCAAACGGAGCAGACTGGACGGCCCGTTTGTGGACGCCTGTCCAAACGGAGCAGACTGGACAGTCTGTTTGTGGACGCTTGTCCAAACGGAGCAGACTGGACAGTCTGTTTGTGGACACCTGTCCAAACGGAGCAGACTGGACAGCTGTGGTGTGAAAGAGCTTGGGCTAAAACTCGCTGCAGTACCAGTTTCCACCAGCAGGCGGCAGCATCGTATCATTCATTTGGGCGTTGTTTCTTCATTGGACTCAAAATATTTTAATATTCAGACAAAATAAATATAATCAGAAGTGCTACGGGAGCCTGAATGTCCAAAAAAAGAAATGAATGTGTCTCCTGCAGCAGGGATGCCTGTAAACATGTCGTCTCCTCCTCCTCAGGTGAAAGCAGACGTGAAGAAGCGAGTGAGGGAGGACCCGGACTTCAACCCTCAGCAGTTCCCCAGCTCCCACAGAGCCTTCTCCTCGGACTCATAATGTCCTCCACGCCGCTCGTTAAAAACCGTTTCGTCCATTTTGTTATTCGGGTCTTTTGTTCGGCTCCCAGCAGCTCAGACTGCGTGAAACCTCAGACGCCTCTCAGCCAACAGAGAACCGGGTTCTGTTCAAACAGAACCGCAGGATTCACATCCCAACAGGTCTTAGAAACTAGAACTGGTTCTGTTTTGGCTGAAAGTCCTGGTCCCTCTGCTGAAGTCACAGGAGACAAACCGGACTTTATTTCCTGCAGGAGAGCGTCACCGAGCCGCTGCTGAACGTCGGATTGAAACTGAAACGCTTCGGTTTCTCCTGACGGATGAACCGAGCGGGACGGAGGGAGAACCTGTAAACTCACCGGATCTGTTCCCCGGAGAACCAGAACCACGACTCATTTTATCCACAAAACTAAACTTTAGTCTCAACTCGACACGTCGACTAAAGATCGGAACCAACGAGACTTTTTATTTTTAGGTGAGTTTTAGTGACAAACGCTTCTCAGCTGATTAAAAAAACCTCTTTTCTGCTCCGGTAACGACTATTTATTGTTTTCTGGTCCAACTTTTACAAACATTTTCACAACTTTTAATTTTAACTCCTAATTTTGTTTGTTTGTTTCACTGTGGGACCCAAATCTTCATGTTTTCACAGCTCAGAAGTTTTTTCTGTTTCTGGTTCGTCATGTAAAAATAAACAAAATAAAATCTGAATTAAAATAAATCTGTTTGTGTTTGACCCCTCAGTCTGAGCAACATTTAGTTTGACACATATAAAGTGTTAAAATATATAAAAGTTTTATAAAAGGACAACAGAGATTAGTTGAGTTCATCGCTATAATAGGAAACATCAGCTTTTATTTATTTTAGTTTCCATTTTACATGCTGACGAGTTTAACTTTTTAATTAGGTAAAAAAAAAAAAGATTTGTGTAAAGACTAACTACAACTAAACATTTAAAAACTGCGTTCAAATGTCTGGATACAATAAAATGTCATTTTAAATACATGCTTTAAACTTATATTTATGATTATAAACACTTTAAGGGTTGCCTTTAAAATAAAAATAACCAGGAATAAATCCAAGCTGACTCTTTTTACTTAACTTCAACTCATTTGTTTATACACATCACTAAAACTTTTAACTACTTTTAATAAGTTTTAAACCAAAAATAAATTCTAAAAGCTGCAAAAACATCTTTGAATAAAATCCATAAACGGCTTAAAACAAAAGTTGATTTAAAAACCAAACGTTTTAATTCAGTTTTTATCAGGACAAAAAAACAAATCGGTTCTCCAATATTCAATTTTATAATTTTACAAAGTTATTAAATAAACATAAAAAAACAATTCACTTGTGTTTGAAGCTTGAAAGGGTTAAAAAGCTGTTTCAGCTGCTGTTTCAGCTGTTTCAGCTGCTGTTTTCAGCTGCTGTTTTAGCTGTTTTCAGCTGTTGTTTCAGCTGCTGTTTTAGCTGTTTCAGCTGCTGTTTCAGCTGCTGTTTAAGCTGTTTCAGCTGCTGCTGTTTTAGCTGCTGTTTCAGCTGCTGTTTAAGCTGTTTCAGCTGCTGTTTCAGCTGCTGTTTAAGCTGTTTCAGCTGCTGTTTAAGCTGTTTCAGCTGCTGTTTAAGCTGTTTCAGCTGCTGTTTTCAGCTGCTGTTTTAGCTGCTGCTGTTTCAGCTGCTGTTTTAGCTGCTGCTGTTTTCAGCTGCTGTTTCAGCTGCTGTTTTAGCTGCTGCTGTTTTCAGCTGCTGTTTTCAGCTGCTGTTTCAGCTGCTGTTTTCAGCTGCTGTTTTAGCTGCTGCTGTTTCAGCTGCTGTTTTCAGCTGCTGTTTTAGCTGCTGCTGTTTCAGCTGCTGTTTTCAGCTGCTGTTTTAGCTTTTTAACTCAAACTATAAAGATGATTTAAATTTAATACCTTCTACACTTCAACTGTTGCCCTTCCTGTGGATAACGATAATTCAAATTAAAACAAATTTAGTTGTTTGTGTTTAGGAGCTGAAAACGTTTTAAGCTCGTTTTAGTCAAACTTTTAAGGAATAAATCTAAATCTGGAAACTTGAGAAAAGTTTTTCATATTTTTTATTTATGTAAAAAAAAAAAAAACAAATCCAGAAACTTTTGACTGATTTCTCAGGAAATGAGAGAACTTGAACATTTCATCCCACCTGATCATGTTTCAGTCTGAACATGAACCTCCTGCTGCCCTTGGGTCATAACGACCCACGAGGCTAAAACTCCTCGTGGCTGTTTGGACCCAAGGGCAGCAGGAAGGTCAAAAGGTCAAACCAGCAGCTGTTAAAGACAAAGTCAGGCAGCAGCGATTCGACGGCTGATTGTTGGAGCCGACAGAACCAGTCGGACCGCCTCTGGTCCGGTTTTACATCCTGGATGAGCTCAGGAATGTGAACGGGTCACAGAAGAACCTTTTGTCAAAAACAAACATTTCGGGTCAGACAGGATTTAAACTCTAAATAATAAAAAGATTAAACCTTAGTTTCATTTTAATTTGAAACTTTTCAAACTCGGCTGTTTGAGAAACGAGTTGCTCCAGTCGACCCGGTTCTGTTTGCAGGAGGAGTGTTTGCTGAGCAAACAGCTGGTCCAAGTCAAACACTCAGAACTTATCCGGTTCTTTACTTGGGCTTCAGCAAATACACAGATCCTAAAGGTCCGACCCACCAGCAGATGGTTCCCACAGAACCGGGCCTGAGCTCAGTTGAAACAGGACACCCTGAAAATGACTGCAGCCCATTGAATAAAACAAACAGAACCGTTAGTGTGGAGCCTCCGTCTCCATGGCGACCCAGAGCGCCAGAACAGGACAAAACTGGACTCTGTGTCCCGGTTCTTAAAGAGGTTTGACCTTTTCGTGTGGAGGGGTTCTTGGGTTCAGGCTGGGTCCAGTTTAAAAACTTTAAACACAAGGACAGGACTGAACAGCTGCTCCGTTCACACCAGAACGTTCAAAACCCGGTTCAAGTCCCGTTTAAACCACATCTGTTTTCATCTTGAAAACTTCTGTACTCGTATTTGCACGGTTCTTTACCTTTTAAAGTTTTTTTCACGTGCAACAGCTTACTTAAATGTGCACGACCACAATAGTATGCAATTTTATTAATTTTGCTAATAAGTAAAAAATAATAATTTTGGTTGCAAACAGTGAGAATTCAGGTTTTGGCTGTGATCGGCGATACGGAATTCCGCAAGGCTTCCGTCTTCACCCACTTGATTTTCTGCTTCACAGTTTAGGTTTGAGATGGTTTTAAGAGCACGGAAGCAGGAAAAAGAAAACGGGGAAAGTCAAACTGAACATTAGTGACAAAATGTGCAGCTTTTCACCTGGAGTTGGAAAAACTTGTTCAGAATTTACAAGTTCAAAACATTTTTCAGATTTAGTCAAAAAGTCTCAAGTTGATCTCATTTTGTCCAGTAGACCCGGACGTCAGTCTGTCCTCTTATCTCCGCGTCTCCTGAAATCGACGTTTCCCAGAACTTTGAGAAATGAAACCGAGGCCAGTTCCCGAAACCCGGTCCAGACAAGTTCGAGACCAGTTCCAGACCCGCACCGTGACTCAGGATCAACTTGTTTCGTAAACTTTTTAAAATCCCGATACTCAGATGAAGAAACGAAGAACTTTTAAACGATTTGAGAGGTTTTATACTCCTGCGTGACCGTCTAATCCTTTTATTACGAGTGCGTCACAGACACATTTTTAGGTGGCTTTGTTTTGGTTAAAGGTTCTGGATGTTTTACCATCAAGAAGCCCAAGTCATTATCAAAACCATCTCATCTCTGCCCATGAACCGTGTGTTTGGGTCAACAGAGGCACCTGAACTCTGACCTCGGCTGAACTGATGAGGGTATAAAAGTTAGCAGATAACACAGCTCGGAGCTTTTTCCCCTCACTGGTTTTCATGGTCCAGTTAAAAATCCGCCATAGAGTGTGGTTCTTTTAAACAACCTGAGCCAGATTTTCTCCAACAATTATCTTTAAACTTTCAGATGTTTCCTCAAACAGAACAAAACGTTAAAGAAGTGAAGTTTTATTCAGGTTCATATTTAATATTTCACAACATTTACAATTTAAATAAAAATCCTCCAAGAGGACAAACGGCTGTTCGACACGACGTTCTTCCTTAAACCGATTGATCCAGAACGTCGCTGACCCGTTTCACAGACCCAACAGAACTTCTTTATTTATACCAGTAAGAAAAGAAGTTTGATTGAAGAAATAATCCACAAAAGAAGCCTCAGACAGTTCAAAGGTTTTTACGTCTGGAACAGAAATTAAAGAGAAAATATTAAAGTTGTGCAGTTTTTCCTACAGAAAGGCTCCAGGGTTCGATCGAGGGTCTTTCAGGTTCCTGTACTTGTGTGTGAGCCAAACTCCGAGGATCTGAAACACAAACAGGTCTTTGGGTCAGAGTTGGGCTCAGAACGAGGACGTTTCAGAACGAGTCGCGGTTCTGACCTCCGTGAAGCTGAAGAAGAGGCCGATGCCTCCGATGAAGCGCAGAACCTCCCCGGCGTACGTCTGCAGGATGGACGAACAGCTGACGCACGACTGAGGGGAGCTGAAGCATTGCTGGAAGAACAAGAAGAATAGGTTCAGACCCGGTCGGCGCTGCGAGGCAGAACCAATGACCAGGTGTCCTCACCGCGGGGCAGGAAGCGTTGAAGTTAACGGAGGAGTAGCCACAGCAGTCCAGAGTCTTCTCCACGTCCTTCTGAGTCGACTCTGATCGGTTCCAGCCCACCTCCAGCAGCTGGTTCTGAAGAACAAGACTGATCATGGTTCTGGTTCTGAAGGAGGTGGCATATGTTGGTTTCACTTGTGTTAGCAAAATAGCTCATGAGAAACTTTAGACGGATCTAACGAATGATTGACATGAAGTCAAGCCGATTCAAGATGGCCGCCAAAGCTAATGAATCCAAAAACTGCTCTGATCAGATCCAAGCCCCGACCCGAATCGTCACAGGGCCCCGACCCGAGCCGTCACAGGACCCAGAGCCGAGCCATCACAGGGCCCCGACCCGAATCGTCACAGGACCCAGAGTCGAGCCGTCACAGGGCCCCAAGCAGTCACAGGGCCCCGAGCCGTCACAGGGCCCCAAGCCGTCACAGGACCCCGAGCAGTCACAGGACCCCGAGCAGTCACAGGGCCCTGCAGATTTTCTGCTGGACTCAAACCTTTGAAACAGAATAAATTCTGTTCCCGACCCGCTTTCCTTCCAGATCAAAAGGTAAATGGACTCACCTGTTGGTCTTTGTTCAGAGCCAGGCAGGCGCAGGAGATGGAGAACTGCAGCACAAACACCAGGAACAGGACGATCCATGTACTGGTTCTGGTTCAGGAACTAACAGAACAGAGTGCAAAACCAAACAAAGACCGGCCCGCCGGACCAGAAGGATACAAAGAAGAGCAGGACTTGCTGGTGATTCATGGCGCCGCACAGACCCACGAAGGCCACCAGCAGGAGGAAGGCCCCCACCCCGATGACCCCCGCCACCACGCCGATGCTGGAGACCAGACCGAACCACTTCCCCCAGGCTGCCACGCCCATCAGGAGCAGACTCACCATCTGGGGGGGCAGGAGACCACATTCAGCTTCAGGTTCTGTCCCGCCGTCCACATTGGACCACGGTTACAGAACCCAGAGGAACTCGTCCTGCAGTTACAGAACCCAGAGGA